CCCCCCCGCTCTGGGTTCTCTCTCCTCCTGCAGCCCCTCGGAGGAGCCAGCTGCCAGGGGGACATTTCTGTTTCCATGGCCACCCTGGGAGCAGGTCCGGCCTCCACAGCTTCGGGACCACTGGGCACAGGCCGTCTCTGAGGTGAGGAAAGACGGAGTGGAGAGCCCACTGATCGTGACCTTCGGGGATAAATGGGCCCGGGTCTGAAATCCATCACTTCCGCGCCCCCGATGAAGGTTTGCTGGGTGGCCGCCCTCCAGGCATCGGATCCTCGGAAGACAGATGGCCCCGTCCATCTGCGTTAGCACAGATAAGCCATTTAATTTAATTTTAAAACGACTGTCAGGTGCTTAAAAGAGCAAGAGGAATAACAAACGGGGCTTCTCTTCTTATTTATCCCCCAGCAGTTAGCTGTGCGACGTTCCAAGGTTGTCAGTTTAATTAACTGGTGGCTGGGGAAGCAGCTCTTATCAGTGAGGAGGCGGCAGGCCTTGGGCCCCACAGCCTCGTTCCCTGGGTGCGGCTTCTCTGAGGGCTTGGGGGCTCCATGAGTTTGGGGGCTTGCGCCCCAGCGGCCAGGCATCCGTGTGCGGCACTGTGTCTCAGGTTACTGTGTAAGGAAGGGGAGGAACTGGGAAATCGCTGATGCCCACAGGTCTGCCCTGGGAGACCCTCTGTGCACGGGGAGCTGGGTGCTGGGTTTGTGGAAGCGTGGCATCCGCCTGCCAGGGGTTCCGCTGCGGGGGAGCCAAGCCAGGCTGGGTCCTGGGTCCTTGGACACCTGAGGCTCCCACGGTCGGGCAGGAGGCAGGAGTGAGCGCTGCTTGGCACTGGGTGGGATGTGGAAAGGGACAGTTTCTCTCCCAGTCCTGTGACTTTCACCACAGCCATGAGGTGCTGTCTTGTCTTAGAGGCCCCAGGACAGCCCTGCATGTATGTGTGTGTCTGTGTTTTGGGGGAGTCCTGCTTCTTAACTCTGCCCTAGAACCCCAAAGCGCCTGTGTGGACAACAAATAAACAGGTGGGCATGTCCATATGCCGATAAAACTTTATTTATAAAAACAGATGAGGGGCTGTGGGTCCTTGTTTGCTGACCCCTGCCTTAGAGCAACAAGGGGAGGCGCCTGGCCCGGTGGGAGGCTGGGACCAGGACCCTCCCCTGGACCCCCCGCCAGCTCCAACTCAGGCGGGAAACGAAGGTCTGTGTCGTTTAATCTGCTCTTTATTGGATGGAAGCAGTCATGTCTTTGGGTCCCTGCAGCTGGCTTCGTTTCCCCTCTTAGCCATGAGAGGCTGTGCTCTGCTCGCTCTTGGGGTTCAACTGGGTGACCACGGGAGGGTGGAGACAGCAGCAAGGGACAGCCCACCGCCCTCTGAGTTCAAGGGGCAGTTCCGGAGGGGCTGGGTATGTACAGGGGCTTCAGCACATGCAGAGGAGGTGGCCATCCAGGCCGCTGGACAAGAAAACCATGGAGAAGGCACGTAGTTTGGAGCTGGAGCTGGCTGCCAGCAACGCGCTCGGGCACAGCCACTCGGCTAGGAGGGTCTGTGCTCCCCGAATTGGCCTCCAGAGCGCACAAGGGGGCCCCGCTGTCCTGGGGACAGGACCCACTGATCTGCCAGCAGCCAGGAGAGGTCCCTGCCCGAGATGGCGTGGGCGCAGCCGGGTCCTCTGGGCTCCAGCTCGGGGTGGGCGGGAAGGTCCGTCCCCTTCCCCAGGCCTCCAGGTCTGCGATGCAGGTTGGGGAGGCTGGGCCAGGGGTCAGTGCCGGCCATGCTTGACCCAGTTTCTGATGGCCCACTTCTGTCCCGAGCACCGTTGCATCACCAGCCGCAGCCCAAAGTTGGCGTCCTTGGACATCTCCACCTCCAGGCACCTGCCAGTGTCCCGGCTCACAATGGGGCCACTCTGCAGGGCAGGGAAACCGAGTCAGCATGGGTGCCTGGGGGCCGTCGTGCGAGCATCCGGGAGTGAAGGATGCAAGCCCCACGTGGTCACTCACAGCCACCTGAGACTGGGCCTGTCTGCCCCTACGTTCCTCTGCCCTCCCACATCCCCCGCATCGGTCATCCTCCCCACCTGCCCAGCTCCCTGGGGTCTGAGGAGTAATCATGACAACAGGGTCCAAGGCCCCTGAGATGGGCATTTCCCTGGCAGCTCCCTGACTCCTGGCGTGTCCCTCGGTCACCTCTGAGCACTGAGGGCCTGACCGTGCCCAAGGACCCCAGGGTCAAGTTCTCTGTTCTTCCCCAGCCGTGTGGTCCTCATGCAGCATGGCCCTCACTGTCCCCGCCCCAGGCCTGCCTCCTGGGGACCTCTGACCCTTGTTGGCTCACCTCCGCCATGTCCCCCGCCCTGCTGACCTGGGTGAAGTCCCACAGCCGCTGCGCCGGCCGGGCCACATCCTCGCACTTTCTCAGGGCCGGCGTGCGGGCCCTGCCGTCGTCCACCAGGCACTTGGAGTCGGGCAGGAAGGCGGTGGAGCCCAGGGGGCCCAGCTGCAGCAGGCCCTCGGTGCTGTACCGCACGAGCTGGGAGAGGCCGAGAGCCGGGGGAGCGTGTGCAGTGCACATGTGTGTGCGAGTGCACGTGTGTGCGCGTATGCACGTGTCTCCTGGAGGCCCCCACACCGCCCCCAGGTGCCTGACCTCACAGCCATGGTGGTGGCACTGGTTTGCCCCGCAGGCTGCCCGCCTGCCCCTGCACCCCCTCCTGCCCGCGGTTGGGGCAGCGCCGCTCCTACCTGGGAGGACATCCCGTGGCAGGGGTAGAGGATGGCGCGGTCATCGTCCTCCGCCCCCTGGTCCAAGCAGTAGCCGCTGGCTTTGCTGTTTCTCACCTGCGACCAGAAACCAAAGGAGATGCCATGGGGAGGGGGTCGAGGCCAAGGCAAGGCCTCAGGGGGCCCGTCCCCTGCCGGGCAGAGGGGCCTGCTCTGCGGCCAGCCGTCCAGGGAGGCAAGAGCCTGGGGCCCAGGGCGAGGGGTCTGACCGCGCAGGGGTGGGGAGCGCG